CAATTACACAAAGGGATTTTTTTATCACGTTGAAACTGGGATTTTTGGTAGGAGAAAAAAAAAGAGTTCTCAAGTTCGGTCTCTGCCTGTATTAATTTCAATAACATAGTTACAAAAATTGTCCAAGGGGGGGGGGATTTCTCGCCTTGCGCTGTAAAAAAAAACAGCTGAGATTTTCTGGTCGGAGTAAATGACTCAGCCTAGGCTGACTCTCCCCCTCCGTTCGCAGCCAAAAAAAAAAACCCCTGCGAACTTCAAAGAAGACTCTTGCCGACTGAGTCGCTCTCTGCTTTTTTCTAGCCTGAAAAAAGAGATATCTAATAGATATTCAATAGATAACGAACCAGGAATCTGGGGGCAGCTCCGTTAAGCTGCCGACGACGGCAAGTCCCTCCCCGGAAGCCAATATGAAACATGATTTTGAAAAGAAGTCACAATGGAATCATTATTTAGCTAAAGAAATATTACTGTATGCTCTACTTACGCTGACATTCAGGAAGCTTGCCACTCCATTTTACGCTTTTTCCATTTAAGGCACATTTTATGGAAGAGTCTCCAATCAGTTTGTACCTGTATTAAAACAGAAACTATTATGGAACAGCTACTGGTTCAATTTCCTATCACCAATTCTCAGAAATGCCAGCAGAAAAGAATAGAATAATTACAACTCATCAACTTCTAGATGACCATGTGCTAAAAACCTTGCATATAAATAGTGACAATCTATTACTTACAAAAATCAAACAATACATGTGATGCTGAAAAATTATTACAGGAAAGCATATCCCATCCAAGCCATTATTTTGCAGATTCCTCTTACAATATTCTGCCTTTGGATTACCTATCTTCTCAACTACCCAATCTTGTTTGGGTAAGCAATATAGATCTCTCAATCTAAAATATCTGTACATAAATATAGGTAGTCCTTGACGTATGACCACAATTGAACCCAAAATATATGTTGCAAAGCAAGACAGTTGTTAAGTGAGTTTTGCTCCATTTTACAACCTTTTTTCACAGTTGTTAAGTAAATTATTGCAGTTGTTAAGTTTGTAACAGGGTTGTTAAGTGAAATCAGATTCCCCATTTGCTTGGCAGAAGGTCATGAAAGGTGATCATGTGACCCCGGGACATTGTGACCATCATAAATATAAACCAGTTGCCAAGCATCTGAAATTTATACAGAATAACAGAATTGGAAAGGACCTTGAAGGTCTTCTAGTTCAACCCCTTCTTAGGCTGTTGTTTCATGTTGTGAAGGCCTGGGTGGTGGGTGGGGTTCATTTGTTGACTAGGGCTGGTTTCCATATATCTGGTAGGAGGGAGTTATCGGCACATTTATTCATGTTGTGGGGGTGTTTCTCTATTTCG